GATTGAACTCAGGACCTCTGGAAGACTAGCCATTGCTCTTAACCCCTGAGCTATCTCTCCAGCCTTGTTTCTTATATTTCTGACATTAAAATTTTTTAAATTTAGTTTGTTTTGTTCATTTAAAATATTCATGCTATTTTAACTTTTCTGTCAAAATTTAACTAACATAGAGACTTGGGACTCATAAATATAGGTCTATGACTAAATGACTTACTTTAGGAGCCCTTAGGAACATTTTCTTTTCTTTCAAAACAAGGACAAGATGAAATCCTTATTGTCTAGAATTAGGCCTGACTTGTTATAGTCAACGACCATAGACAATAGGATTTGGTCCAGGATTTCCAGGATTCTAGGCATCATGACTCCACAGTATACTCACCACCTTGTCAGTCAGCAGTCACTGCTTAAAAGAGAGAATTAAAGGAAATCATTTCCAGGTGACCAATAAAGCATGAGAGAATTCCATCCTGTTGTGACCAGATAAGTCTGTCAGATGTGGAGGCTTTTAGAGAAGCAGTAAGATGGTAGACTGGACATGTTTGAAGCTGCTGAAGGAGGTGAGTCATAGACAGGGCCTCTCTGGGAAGTCATTTGGGGAAATGCATCAAGATGCATGAACTTGGTTTTAGCCATTCGTGTGTATTCCATTTGAAGGTCTAAGCATGCTGATTCTCTTCAAGAAGTTTTATTCTGACGTCACTGGTTGTGAGTCTGTTGAGGTGAGCAGCACCTACAGTGAAAACAGTCACTGTCCTTCCTGGTCGGGTTTCTGTTGCTGTGACAAACACCATGACCAAAAGCAACTTGGAGAGGGAAGGGTTTTGTTTCAGGATATTTAATCACTATGTGAAGATGCACCACTGTAATTAGTTTAATAAAAAGCTGAACAGCCAATAGATAGACAGGAGAGGTTAGGAACTTCCAGGCAGAGAGAGGAACTCAGGGATGCATCTAGCTAGGTTCAAGAATTTCACCAGCAAGACACAAAGGAGTCAGACGTACAGAAAGGAGGAAAGTCAAGAGCCACATGGTAGATTAATAGAAACATGTTAATTTAAGTTATAAGAGCTAGTTAGGAACAAGCCTAAACTAAAGGCAAAGCTTTCATAATTAATAAGTCTCCATGTCATTACTGGGGAGCTGGCAGTCCCAAAATAAAGTGACAGAAAGATTTATTTCATCTTGGACTTCCAGGTCACATTCCAACACTGAGAAAAGTCAGGGCAGGAACTGAAACAGAAGCCACAGAGGAACACTGTTTAACTGGCCTGCTTAGCCTGAGTTACAGGCTGTAGACTCCAAAACTACTGCTTGGGGATGGCACCAGCCATAGTAGGCTTGGCCCTTCCATAGCAGTCGTCAGTCAAGAAATGCCCCAGGAGCTTGTCCACAGACCAGTCTGAAAAGGCTTGTTGTTGTTGTTTGTTTGTTTTTCCGAGACAGGGTTTCTCTGTGTAACTTTGCACCTTTCCTGGAACTCACTCTGTAGCCCAGGCTGGCCTTGAACTCACAAAGATCCGCCTGCCTCTGCCTCCCAAGTACTGGGATTAGAGGCATGTGCCACCACTGCCCAGCTAGAAGGCATTTTCTTAAATGGGGTTCCTTTTTCTCTGAAGACTAACTTGTCAAGTTGACAGAAACCAACCAGCACAGTTGCAAACATCTGAGTTGAATAGTCTGGACCATTTTTGCAAGTGTTAAAAATTAATGGGCTTGCTAGGCATAGTGGCACAAGCCTTTAATCCTAGCACTAGGGAGGCAGAGGCAAACTGATCTTTGTGCGTTCAGTGCCAGCCTAGTCAACAAAGTGTTCCAGGACAGCCAGGGCTACATGGACCCTGTCTCAAAAAGGGGGATGGGAGGGAAGTACTGGGCATAGTAGCAGCATCTGTAATCTCAGCATTGCTGAATCAGAGGCAGGAAGAGTGCTGTAAATTCAAGGCCAGCCTGGACTAAAGTGAAACGATGTTTTTATTATTGTTGCTGTTGTTATTGTTGTTTGTCCTGGTCTGAGAATTGGGAAGGTTTCTATTTACTTACACAGATACATACTTGGATTCCAAGTCAGTAATTGCAACAAAACTCTTAGTGGGAAGTTGGATGCCTTGTTTTCTTTCAGAAGCAACGGTCTGGGGCTGGAAAGATGGTGGTTCACAAGTTAGGAGAACTGGCTGCTCTCACAGAGGTCCTGAGTTCAATTCCTAGCACCCACATGGTGGCTCACAACCATCTATGATGAGATCTGGTGCCCTCATGCAGGCAGAACATTGTATACATAATAAATAAATCATAAAAAAGAAAAAGAAAAGAAAGAAACAGCAGTCTGGAGGTTCCTGGCCTTTCCTATAGAAGGGGCCTGGACAGTGGAGGAGGGCTTGGGGCCAGCATGTGGTACAGTTAGCAGATAGAATCCCTGGACTCTAAGAAAAGTATAAATAAAGGGACTGGAGAGATGGCTTAGTGGTCACAAGCACTAGCTGCTCTTTCCTGAAGACCGAGGTTCAATTCCCAGCATGCATGTGGCAGCTCACTACCAGTCTATAACACCAGTTCCAAGAGACCCAACACCTTCTGGCCTTTGAGAGTACTGCAAACACATGGTATACTGACATGCAGGCAGGCAGAACACCCATACACATAAAACTTTTTAAAATTTTAATAAAACTGGCCAGGCGGTGGTGGCACATGCCTTTAATCCCAGCACTCAGAAGGCAGAGGCAGGCAG